TGGATGTGGCTTTGTTTATGTGCGTGCGCGTAGGTATGTGTGCGTGTCAGAGGCGTAGCGACCCCTCCCGGCGCCCGGGGCGAGCTTTCAGTTTGGCGCCCCCCATATATATATATATATATATATATATATATATATATATATATATATATATATATATATATATATATATATATATATATATATATATATGCGCTGATTGTCGTTCCCTAAAACTTCACTGGACGCCAATGAAATTCCCCTCAAGCCGAAACTGATAAAAAGTAGAAAATCAAAAGAGCTTAGAACAGTGGGCTCCATCGAACCCGAGAGGTTCGGTAATTCAGTCTCAGGGCTTCCGCGGAGGTCAAGACACACAACCGACTCATATGATTTACGATCGGATTTTGTCAGTGTGGACGATAGAACTATTAAGAAGGGTTCGGTGAATGTGCATATGAAACTGGTGGGGTTCGGTACCTCCAAAAAGTTAAGAACCACTGATTTAGGGTGTATTTTTATGAAGGTGCAAGCTTATTTGATCTACTTTTGGTCGTGTCTTTAGAACAATTTCGATAATAGTAGGCCAATACTGCAATTTTGAATTATCAATTAGGTTGAACAAAGTAATAATCACGTGCGTGTGTATGTGTATGGTTATATGTGTGTGCATCAATGTGTATGTGTATGAATGTGCGCGTACGTTTGCACTTGCATATGCATGGGTATGAGGATACGTAAACGTAAAAACTGAAATATTTAAAGAACTGATACTCACTAATCATTTACTGTTTGTCTTTTGTGTCGCACATTCATAGAAGTTTGCGGAATCAGCACAAGTAGTATGGTCAAAGTAAACAAGAGACTTAAGTTGTCTCCCATTCTTTTTAGAGTCAATTGCCTCCCTTAAATAAGGCGCATAACTCCAGAAAAAGCTAAGTATTTTTTTGTTCTTGCGAAAATTTCCGAAAAAATGAAGGCTGTAAATTTTTTTAAAAATTACAAATTAATTGTCAGTTTCCGTTGTCTTTCTGATATCCAAATCTGCTTTATCGTAAATCCATAAAAAAAGAAAGCAACGATTGGACCCTAGCTCTTGGTAAAACAAACTTAAAATTTATTATTTTGATGAATGTCCAAATGAAAAAAACAACTGAAGTTTAAAAAGTTATGTTGATAAAATTATCTATTTTCTACAAAATAAACAACAAACCAGACAAAAAACTGCTTTTTACTTACAAACGAGTTAATTACCGAACAACACAAAGACCAATAGCAAAAACGTCAACAACATATAGACAGACGGAACAGGGCTGATATTCGTGTGGTTAGCTAGCAGAGGCGTAGGATGCAAGCATTAACTTTCCCGCAAGCTTAAGTAAGCCGAGTCTACCACCAAAGCCATTTTGATAAGTGTTGCATACTAAACCAGAGTTTTAAATAGACATTCTTTCAAGCATCTTACCGCAAATGAATTTTATGTGAAAGTTATAATTGTAAAATAAACTGGAAATACATTGGATCCTTTCCAGCTTAGTGTATTGTGCTGAAGAGGGATAAAGTTATCAAAAATATTTCCTATTATCATCTCCCTCCCCCAAAACTCCCGTTCTTAAGTCTTCAAGCTTTAACTTGCTGGGAAAAATCAAACTTATGCCATATTTATGCCTAAAATAAAAAAAAAATTTCACAAAGTGAATTGCGAAAATTGCAAACAAAAAATATATTTATAATTTTATTGTTACTACAATTTTCAATTTAAAATTATTTTTTTTTTCAGGTATAAGATTATTTGAATCTTTATTTGAAAAAAAAAAAACTTATATTTCAAACACAATAGTGTTTCTTTACTTTTATCTTCTCGTATACCGTGTTTTAAAAATAATAAAACAATAGTTTCGGTTTGATGGACGGAATTTCATGTTTTTTTTTAAAAAAAATAAACGGTGTGGTCACATATTTTCCTCCATTTTGTCGCCCGATTCCACTGTAAGTGCTACCCCCAAACAGATTGTTGTATACGACAAGTAAAGAAGCTCCCTTTCGCTATATTATTAAAGGGTTTGCAACATTGTAGTCTTATGTCGTCATTGGTTCCGCCTCTGTTAACGTTGTGTCTTCTCTGTAAATTTCAGCGTGGATACAAGAAATTAGGGGGTGGATGCGTCTTTTTTTGCATTGTCAGATAAGACATTCTTTTAAAGTGAGTGGTTCTAAAATCACAAAGTTTAACTCATGTTTTTTCTTTTTTTTTTTTACTAAATTTTAAATGCATTTTCCGCCCTAACTTTGGTTTAGCTGTAAAGCTTTAAATTAGCGTTTCATACAACATAATTTGATCAAAAATAAATACGTGAATTATGTTATCATTTAATGTTTTGTAGCATATCATGTTTACATGTTTAGTTAAAAAAGCAAGTAAATACTTTTTGGTAAGGACATTTTTTATATTTGTCGTTCCATTTATAGACTTAAACTAGAGAATATATTTCTCTGACTTGGATACTAGGTCGTACAGTGCGGTCAACACTACACCCAGCCGTCTTATTCTTAATATAACACAATAAAACTTCCTTTAAATGGCGACTACATCACAACGACCCCCAACCCCAACCACGACCAGTTTGAGAACACCTGGAAATGAACACCGAGATAGTTGTTCGACGCTGGGAAGTGCTAGTCGCCGACTCAGTACCGCCCCATATCAGCCACCGATAAGGCACATATCTTGTTTGTCTCGCTTCAAAACCACACACTACATGACCGCAGCTCCCCTCCACTCGGCTCAGTTCTAAAAGTAATTAAATTACGTTTTATGACTTTTACTGTTAAGCATTAAAAATTTTCAACGAATGTTAATAGATTGGATCTGCAAAATAATGCGATCTTCGAGTTTTGTGAAACAATAATGTATTGCATGTACAGTTAAGGATATTAAACATGACTTAATTCTAAAAAAAAATACTGATTATTGTATGCCTATTTGCCGTACGTAGCTTTCAGCAGCCTATCCATATCAATAATGGTCGGCATTAACTGTACTCATGTCTTTAAATAATTAATAGAACATGTTTTTATTCCCATCAAAATGAGATAAGTTTACAGTCTCCACAGAAATTAGACATGCATTTGTCTTTACTTCGGAAAGTAAAGAAGAGTCCTCTCTACTATTTTCATGTTATTGTTTTAACATGGACAGCATAGATATATTTAGTAGGTAATTTCAATAACACCGATCGGGTCTTTCAAAGTATGAATCCAATATGCTACCACATAGTATATATATATATATATATATATATATATATATATATATATATATATATATATATATATATATATATATATATATACATATATATAAACGTGTGTGTGTGTGTACTTTATATACATTATATTGACTTGAAAGTACTATATATACAGCCTTTATAGATAGGCCTAAATGTTTATATTAGGGAACATCGCGGCCTAAGCGTTAGAGCGCTAGGCTCCGAACACGAAAGCCTCTAGTTCGAATCCGGGTCCACGTCAATAGAATAAACCTCAGTCCACCCAGCTCTAATGGGTACCTAACTCATGTTAGGCGGCTGGGCAAAGTGCTGACCACACATTCCCTTCATACACCAAGATGTTCTTAAATAGAGAACTGCATCGATTAATATCACCTTTCCGTCGTTATCTACGTCTCAGCTTCCAATGACTGGTCATCTTCATTTTCCATTGATCGGGCTTTACATCTTTTCATTCGTTCTTATCCACTGACCAATACCTACGCTAATCTAACGGCGTCACTAAGTTGGCTGACACCAGTTGCGATACTGTATATTTTGGAGCTTCAAAATATATTTTTCTACAACTCTCCCTCCTTCTCTTCCTTCCATTAAGGTTACAGCCGTAACTAAAGAGGATGTTTGTGCTTGATGTTTGTTTTGTTTTATTTTGTTTGTTTCGTTGTATTTGAAAAATGTTTCTTCTTCTTCTTCTTCGTTCTTAATTTTTACAGCACAATTAAGTATACGTGTCAACTGGTTATGCGCCATTGAGGCCATTGACTCCGATTTCAGCCTGCTTTTCTTTTTAGATTTGCTTCCATAGCCTTTGACCAACCAAGAACAAACTACAAGGAAGTAGTTGTTTGATTTTGGAGTTGTCTCTCCTAGAAGAGTTGCTGTCCCCAGCTAATGAGCCTCATCTGCCCGAAGGTTCTAACTCGAGACTTTTCGGTTTAGCTGCCATGAACTTTACCGAAGCGACTACGCCGACCCCTGAAAGGAGCTTATTGGTTTTTTTTTTAAAGATTTGGTTCTACTTTTTTTTGTTGGTACAATAAAATCTATTATACACATATTTTGTTTTTATTTTGACCAAGGTTAAGTGATTACCACTGTGGGTTTAGCCATGGTTGCACTGACACCCATTTGATTAGTAATCTTAAGGATTAGATTAGGACGCCCCCGTCCCCTAATGTCAGAGCTTACTTATGACCATGGCCGTATGAACGATATGGGTAAGGCTACACTGCTGGATGGAATCAAAGAAATCCCACTGATCTGAACCCAAAATCCGAAATCGAGACTTTCGGGCTCGCAGCCGAACACTCTACTATTCGACCATGTCGTTCCTTTATCACATACAAGAGAGGTAGTCTATAATTGTATTTTCTTTTCTCGCTTTGTTTTTACAATAATTGTGAAGACCAGGATCTCTTTCTGCTACGATTAAACAAACGCTGCCATCAGATGAATAGTTTAAAAAAAATCAAAGCCCATAGCTCTAGAGGCCGCTAGCTATGAAAACGATGTTTTGTGCTTAGGTGTAGTCATAGTACAGTTTACAATGTAAAATGTGAATCTGTTATGATGGTAGAGCTACTATCAGGTACTATCGTGTATCCAGTATCAAGGATTTCAAAGTAAATTCGCGTGTCGCATTTTACCAAGACCCAAAAAATTGTAGTAGACTATTGAACATTGTTTTTGAACTTGTAGGCCTACTCACATTCCATAATTAATAACAGACAAATTAAATGTTAAGAAACTGTGTTTAGTTTAATCATAATAAATCAAAAGTAAAATAATATTCATTGATACAAACAGAAGAATTTAAGTCCAAGGTCAGAAACAATTAGTGTTTTGTAAGATTAAATTTATAAAATTATTTAAATTTTCTACTCAGAATTTAAAAAAGAAATATAATACCACATATCATATCAGGGGCGTAGCGAGGGGGGGGGGGGGCGGGGGTGTGGACCGCACCGGGTGACACCATTTAGGGGGTGACACCAAGGCAAAAAATAGCAAAATATATAGAGAAAAACTTGAGGGGGGTGCAAATCGAAAGTTTGAGAAGGGGGGTCCAAATCGAAAACTTGACAGGGGGGGGGGGGGGGAAATCGAAAGTTTGAGGGGGGGGGTGCAAATCGAAAACTTGAAAGTTTGTCTCCGGGAAGGGTCGCAACGCCTCTGGGGGGTGACACCATTAAGTGCCGCACCGGGTGACACCCGACGTCGCTACGCCACTGTATCATATAACAATCGGGATTAAATTATAATGTTCATTATTAGTTCTTATATTAATAATAGGCCTGCTACTTCATCATTGGAGAACAGCAAATAATAACAGAAATGAATTTAACAATATAAATTATTTAACATAGTGGGTGAGTTGAGTGTTAAAAAGGGGGTGGTGTGGAGTTAGGAAATGTAAAAAGAGGGTTGAATCGGGATTGGGAAAGACATGGTGAGAGTGGTTAATGTGGGGCATTGCAGCTATATATTTATTTGCTAAGTAGGCCTATGTCTGTTAATAAGCTATTTAGATAGATATAAGTTTTTTCTCATTAAAACTTACTGATGAATTAAGAGTATGCTAATAAAATTAAATGTAATATCTGTTCCTTTAGACATTACAATAGTTACATGTTATTTTCATGAAATTGTATCCTAGACATCTAAAAATCTAACAAAAACTAGCTTTCCCCCATTTTTTATGCCTGTCGTATAACAGTCTTCATGTCTGACATGAATGTTAGAAGAGAAAGCCTGACTCTTCCAGAGATAATTTCTAAGACATTGCTAATTTTTTACTGATTTATTTCAGCAAAAATAATATTATATACAAATATAAATAATACTTAAATATAAAAAAAAAAATAAACTTTAGAGCTTGATGGTCCATGGGGGAGGGGAAGTATAATTTACCAGTTTCTGTAATGTTGGCATATACGGGGATAGTGTGGTCAGCATTACACCTTTACTTAACCAAACATGAATCGGGTATCGTTCACATTTGCGTGGACTCAGGGTCGCACTACTGACTCAAGCAGTCCAGTCCTGCGTTCTAACATCCTACCACGCAGACGATATATATATATATATATATATATATATATATATATATATATATATATATATATAGACATATATATATAGAGAGACAGAGAGATAGAGAGATACATACATGTATACACATATTTTATATACATATATATATATATATATATATATATATATATATATATATATATATAGAGAGAGAGAGAGAGAGAGAGAGAGAGAGAGAGATGTCTATACATTGTGCCATCATTGTCTCCATCCTAATATATTGGTAAATAACATTGTTACAATTTGCTAACTTTAATGTGGGATATAGATGTTAAATATGATTTCATAATTTCAACTACAGCAAATTATTTCAGCTAAGGTAAAAAAAATTAAAAATCTATTAAAACTGATCTACAATTTAGTTTAGGGCCTTCTAGTTGAGAATTTCAACTGGAAAACAGTTCCGTTTCCATTTGAAACATAATTCACCAAAATTGGTGAATTGAATAAACGGGGTGAGCTTGGTTCCTGTTAATAAATAAACGAAACATAAATTAGTAAATTGACAGTATGTAAGTTAAAGTGAAAGTTTAACATAACTGAATTTCATGTTTTATTTAACGTGAGTTAAATAAAATATGAGTGATGAGGGGTAATTTATTTATGACGTCCACACACATTTTGAATGTCAATTCTACATGTGGACGTCCACATTGACCCCCCCCCCAAGAAATTGAGTTTTTTCGGAGCCCCCTGCCCCATAAATGGATGGCCCCTAAAGAGGCTGAAAGTAAATAAATGTATTATTTAGTAAAATAAAATAACTTACATTACAATACTGTCCCAGCAATTGATCATCAGTTGTAGAACCTTGATAAACATTGATGTAATTACTACTGCAGCTACTTGGGTTATCATAGGCTGTGACCTGGGTGAACCAATAATACATTGGCCTGCTTGAGATTGGTGTAATGTACCATGCACAGGTCTCATTTCTGGTGAAAGTTGCAGGAAAGTTGGGGCTAGTAATTACACCTGTTGAGATACCTTCAATGGCACCACCACATCCTGGACCTGTGATAAACAGAAAACACCTTTTTGCTAAAGAAAGGAGGGGGTAACATGTAAAACAACCATTCTCCTGTAGGCCTATTCTTTTATAACAGTAAGAGAGATAGTGATGCTAGGCCAACGGCGTAGCCAGGACCAGGATAGTCTCTTAGGGGATGGGGGGCCGTCAATCTTTTTCCATCATTATATATATAAATATATATTAAGTAGACTGTCTTACTAAATTTTGAATTAATTATTTCAAACATTCTTAATTTAGTAATTTAACCTATTAAATCGCAATGTATATCATGAAGCAATAAATCATAAAAAAATTAGCTCTACTTCGGGGGAGATATAATCGTGCTTTAATTTAAAAGTTTATATCTATGTTGCACGACTGCCGTTGAAAAATCATCTCGGTGATAGTTTTCGATCGATAAATGAGATATTATGTAATAACAACATCTATAAAAATTAGGCAGAGTTTGAGGGTTTAAAATTTCATGTTTAGTTGTACTAAGTTTGTTACTATACGAATCATTTTGTTATAGAAAATATACATTTGGGCGACACGGGCGAAACCCGCGTTTTTCCCTGCTGTTTGACAATCTATAAGCAATATCACCTGATGATCGTTTCAATGTCAAAAAGCAGAAGTTTAATTACTGAAAGTTATTGTTTAGATGTAAGTTTCATGTTCTCGGCTTTTGGCTTGCTAGAAAAAGAATTTATAGGTATAGTGCATAACTGATTGACTATTAAAATTGTACATGTTCTAATCTTATTTTGTTCCAGCGTCATTTGTGATCTGCCTACATTGTTGATGTTTATTTTAAAAATTCGTTTTACTTTACTAGAATGACCAAACAATACCATCTCGGTCCCCCATACATAAGCAACCAACAGAACTTCTAACCATTTGATTGAGAATGTACATATCCACCACCTATTAAATAAAAATATGTATAATTACTTTGAGTTGATGCCACAAATGTAATGTCAAATCCAGATGTAGCAACAGAGTCATCTGTATGTAAGTTTAGCGTCACACTGTTATCATTCAGATATATTGGATCAGGAATGTAAGGTCCACACAACTTCTTTACTTCCAGGGATGAGCTATCAATAACCTAAAAAAGGCAGGGTAAAAGACTTTAGGTTCACATTTAGAATGTGTAAAAATACAAATGTGTAAAACAAACATTTTGTAGCCTACTTGTAGGCCTATCTATATACATTCAAATTATAAGGTAGATACATACAGTGCAGTCTGAAAAGTTTTCGACCTCAAAATGAAAAAAGCATCACATATCAATAAAACTTGAGGCGTGGGTTATCAAATGCGCTGATCAGTGGCCTAGCTAGAAATTTTCCGACATTTATGCGAAAGTTAGCTTATAACGGAATAAAATGTGGGCAGAGAAGACATCGACTACTACATATAAAAGAGGTTTTTCCATAATATAAATAATTTGTACATTTTGTATTTTATACGTCTTGATTGTACATGTATACTGTATTATTATGTAGCACCCCGTAACATAAGTTATTTCTTATTATTGTATATCATATTTATGTAAAAAATACAACTGTAAGCCTGTAACATACAAGTAACCAAACAGTGACGTCATAAGATGGATGCGGGTTCAGTCCTCTCAGAGTGGCCATTTAGGTAGGTGACACCGAGACAAAAAAATCGTATCTTTTACTGTCAAAACAATGTTTTATCAAATTCAAATAGTAAAATAAGGGGAAATGGGTGACCCACGTAACGTCACTAACCAAACACAATATTGTAAAAGTTTCTCAGGGTTTATTTAGATTAAAAATTTTTTTTTTTTTTTTAAGTTTGTAAAATGATTATGAAAATGTTTCCGCTGCTTCTGAATGTTTGATACTTAAGATAGACAAGTTACTGACAAAAAAAAGCATATTTACAATTAGTTTTATAACATCACAATATAGAGTAAAAATGAGAAATTCTTTAAAAATCCACCTTAGACATCAAAGTCTCCACTATGTTCGTGGAGTGCTATTTTTTTTCTGGAATTAGCATACCCGTCTCGCGTTGCTGTGGTCTAGCTAGCCCTACACACCATAGTAGCGAAACATTTAAGCAGAGTTTCATCAGCGCGTTACCAATCGTGTAGTTTTAGACGAGTGACCTTGTTTTCTAAAAAGTGGTGGGGCAAAGGTGAGTGCAAGGCTGCTCGAAAGTCCCAAGTTTGAATGCCGGACTCAAATCTGTAGGACGTACCTGATCTCATTCACCATCGAGGCGTACTTATTACGTTGACGAAAGCAAAGGAGGCTGAGCATGGGAGTTGTCACACTAATCTCATATGCCAAGGACATAGAAACGAGGATCGAGTAGGAAAAAGAACTGCGCACCATGAACGTTAACAATTTGTGCTCGAGCGGAAAATTACTACATTATAAAGAAACTAATTAATTTATAAAAGTTAATTAAACATCTAGTCAAATCACATTTAAGTCACAGTGCATTTTCATTGAGTCTTGACCTAGGCTAAAAGTTTTAAACAAATCAGTCCGGTAGAAGTGATATAATTTTTTTAGCAGTCGAAAATACCGTAAAGTGCGCTACTACTCCTGTTACCGGGAATAATTTAAAATTTGATAAAATAAAAAGAATAAGATCTTATATCTATCAATAGAATATCACTCATCTATCTGAAACGTGGCTTATGTTATCTGTATTTTAGAAAGAGGAAATAGAGTAAAGTACCTCTTATGGATGTCGGAAGTCACTAAAAATTTGCGATTAATCCAAGTATAAGATCGTATACTTAAATAGAAAATTTCGTCTACCTAAGAAAAACAGTATTGAAGTCATCGTGTTCGCAATGAAATAGAGCAACGTACAACTCCCATGTACCGGAAATAGTACACAATTTTAAAGTAACCTTCACATACAATATATTTATTATATTTATTATTATATTTATTATTTTTATATTTGAAATTTTGTCTACCTAGCTTTAATGGTATTAAAATTATCAGCTTTTGAGAGATCGGGAGTAGAGTACGAATCACTTCCGTTTTACCGAAAATAACTCATAAGTAGAAAGAAATCTACAAATTTGATAAAATACTTAATCTGAAATTTGGTCAACATAGCTGAAACGGTGCCCAAGTTTTCGTGTTTACAGACACACAATCAGACAAAACTTTGTTTTTCCGACTCCGGAAGGTTATAGAGCCTCAACATTTGTCACAATCTCAAATAAGGTTTTTGCACAATTACAATGCATCCTTTATATTCCGTATTCGATACAGTGGATAGGTGTAAAACGGCAAAATCTATTAAAATTTCAATTAATTTTTCTGCATGATAACAATACTTTCTCTATAAATACCATGTTTGTTGACGTATGCAAAAGAGTAAAAACTTTGCCAACAATAAAAAAAAATTAAGTCGTTACATAAATAGTGCGGCATTACTTAAGTTAAAATAGCGCAATTGGGGCGCAATGCGATGCAAGTAAAATCACGGCATGTGTTGATGTTTACATTTATGGTTCTAGAATCTATAGCTATGACGGAATGACGGACTGACTGACACACTACCTGGCCGCTTATATTATAGATACACTTCTATTAAAAAACTATAAAGAAAGGCGTGGGTATCTTCCTAAATATTATTAAAGGTATCCAATACATAATAAAGTGAGCCTCTCGTAGGGCTAAAACGTGATCGCAAGTCAAATCTTCCTCATAAAATAGGATATATATATATATATATATATATATATATATATATATATATATATATATATATATATATATATATATATAACGAGCCCCGTATCCGAATTCGATACTTCTGGAACAGTAGTCGTGCGCTAACCCCCTCCCATCCACCTTACTTACGCCTTACTATAAGTGTATTATATTGATTAGGTAATCAAGATTATGCTGAAGAGTTTATCATATTACCTGTAAACTGTCATGAAAGCAGTAGTGGTTATGCTCCAAGCTAAATTCATTGAAGTACAGTGAGATTGTGGTATTTCCGGGTGAAGTTATAATATATTTGCAGTCCAAATAATGTGGATGTTCATCTGGATAATTTGGGCTGGTTAATCGTCCACTTGAATGTGTATAGTTCCTGTTACAATCTGTACCAGAAAATTGTTGTTAAACTTCGCACGCCAATAGCTGTTTTATTTCATGACATAAAGTAACATATATTTTAATTTTAATAACAAAATATAGATTTTTGAAATTCATTATAGAGTTAAGTCTGGTTAGTGCAGAGGCGTAGCGAGGGGCGGGGGCGGGGGGGGGGCGGGGGGGGGCGGACATATGTCCCCGGGCGCCGACCTTAGGGGGGGCGCCAAATTGAAAGTTTGAGGGGGGGGGTGCAAATGAAAAGTTCGAGGGGGGGGGGTGCAAATGAAAAGTTCGAGGGGGGGTGCAAATCGAAAGTTTGAGGGGGGGGTGCAAATGAAAAGTTCGAGGGGGGGGGGGGGGGGTGCAAATCGAAAATTTGCTCCCGAGGGGGGCGCCAAATTGAAAGTATGTCCCCGGGCGCCGGGAAGGGTCGCTACGCCTCTGGGTTAGTGCTATATTCCGTCAACTTTGACAAAATAAATGTTTTTGTTTTAGTCTATTGACTGTGAAGGAAAAGACAATTTCCTTATTTCTGCAAAATGGTCTTTCGGTAGATGCTGCTAACGCTTCTCATTTCATAATTAAATTTTCACCATTGCTCTAATGAAAAATCATTATTTTCTTATCTCTAATTTACATATATACATAAAAATTATATTATTGGTGTCTTTTAGCAAATATTAACTAAAGAGATAAATGGCCCGTCGCGAGAGAAATACAACGGGCGCTAGGTTGATAGTGTTGTCTATTTTTTAAAAATCGAAACCAAAACCAAAATCACAATTTCAACTTCAAATTTAACCGGAAACGAAAAATGTAATTGAAAACGGATTTTTATCCAGAATCGGGATTTTAATCGGATTTAAGCTTGATCTACACGTAGTTACTGCACATTGATACTAAATATTGTCGTAGCAATACCCCTAAACCTTGAACCTAATCTCAAACATGATAAAAGTCGCATTTAGAGTTTCTTTCAGGCGACCAAAGCACGTCTACCGTCCCATTCAACGAAATAGAATTTATATAGAAAATATACTTTTACCATTGTCCGCCCCCTCCCTGAAAAGTTAGTTTACCCCCACCCTCGGAAATTTCAAGTACCCCATCTGGGGAGGAAAAAGTCTAAGAGAAATACTGGTAGCTTTTCTATAATGTAAACCTGTTTCCTACTTTCGGCCGATAAACCTCACTCACGCAGACAGTGTTTCTTTCAGACTTTTTTCCGGGGATGGGGCACTTTTATTTTTGCAGCGACGAATAAAATTCTCCGAGGCGAGGGATGCCGACAATGGTAAAAGTGTATATTTTCTATATAAATTATATTTTGTTTATTTTATGGGGTTAGACGTTCTACCAGTGGGGAGGGGGGGGGGGGGGGGCGGGGTAAGTGGGCGAAGCGTTGCATGAAAGAAACTCTGCACGCAAACCACTTTTTTAACATTAGACAAAATTGGCTTTTTAATTCTATGTTTACTCAACAATCAATGATGTCAAATTATTGTGTGTACTTTTCCGGCTTAAGAATATTTCCTACTTTATGTACCATGTGACGTCAAGTTTCGTTCATCGTTTAACTGTGCAAGTATTTACTTTGCTTGTGTTTCCTCTATAGTGAAAAGCGTTCCCAACAGATAGAGTGACACATAGAAAGAGTGACAGAATAGCAAACTATTATTATAAATAACACCGAGCTGTACTTTGTTCTGAACACGAAACTTGGATGATAATTGTTGTATGCTCAATTTTGCTATGCTAACACTCCACAGCATAGCATTAAAGAAAATCAATCAGTCACACTACTGTTCAACAATTCTAAAATATGTTTCCCTAATTATAGATCACAGTTGACCGAAATAAGCACTTTATACAAAAGCATACATTAAAAATATAGACCTTACCTGCTAATGTATAGTTTAATTGAAATCTTGAAGCAGAAGAGCTTGATAGTTGTGATTCAATGAAAATTTGTTTTGAAGTAGAGTAAAAAGTTGGAGGTAAAGCAGCACCTGTGTAGGTTTTTTCCTGACCCTAAATTTAGAATGATCTTTTTAAGATAACATCAATTTTGCATGCCATAATATTTAATTACTAGGCATGCTGCCCAGCTTCGCTTAGGCTTTCGAAAACTTTGAGAATTTGAATGCTTAATTAATTCGCCCGAGGGTCGGTCTACGACCTCAGGAGTTATGAAGAGGTTCCTCCGTGGACATTTTTTTTCGATTTATAGCTCATATAAGGCGCCGGTCAGTCGAGGTCAGTTTTGACCCCATCATCGTAGACTTTTCGGCCAACCGGCCCCCGTGTTCTGTCGCCCCAAGGCAAGATCCTGCCAAATTTGAAGCGCCTGCGGCGCCGGGAAGTGCCCCATCGGGCACCCGACAACTTTGCTTTATATATTATAAAGATTAGCAAATTGCATAGATAAACAAAGATTTCAATAAAGTAATTAAGGCCTGAAATACTTTAGTATAGAAATGTATTATTTGAATAGATTCTAGATCTAGGTAGGGTCTACATCTGTGTAAGTCTAGTTTTTCCGTAGATCTAGATCATCTAGATCTAGAATCTCTAGATCTAGATGATCTAGAATCTCTAGATCTAGATGATCTAGAATATCTAGATCTAGATTATCTAGAATCTCTAGGTCTAGAATCCTAATAGAATTTTTAGCCCGAGCAAAAAAAAAAAAACCAAGTTTGACTTGGTGTGTCTCAAACCCGCACCACCTGCGTGGTTTTAAGTACACTATCATCTCAGCTATTTAGGCATCTTACAAAACTCAGAGAATGAAGGACGTATTTTAAAATCTTAACTTACGCGAATATGCCTATTCTTTCAAATTAATTTTTTTATCCCAAATTAGCCAGTTCCAAACAAAGGTTTTGTATAAAATAATTAAGTCTTGAAATAGTTTAGTCCTAATATAGAAATTTATTTTTGGAATAATTCTAGAGTAATTAGAGTCTACATCTAGATCTTTGCGTCTACGTCTAGTTATTGCGTAGATTTAGATCTAGTCTAGATCTAGAATCTCTAGATCTAGAATCCAATTAAATAAAATAAATTTTATGAGTTTAGGCCGGAAAAATTGTATTGTATACATTTCATAGTGTACGTAAATCTAGATCTAAATCAAATTTGAATGAAATAGTTCATTTCTTTTTATTCTAAACACGGCAGATGACGTCATTAGTTAATGTATAAGCAATAGTGACGTCACAGTTTTATGTGTTCTTTTTCACATCTATTAATGCTTTTCCTGTTGCATAATAAAAATTGTTTTTCTACATTCGAATACGCCTTTATTTGATATTTTTCTTCTTTAAATAAAATTGTGGTTATGCATTTAAAACATCTAACATATTATTTTCAACAAAAGTCCGTAGAAAGTTCTTCATATATCGCTGCAGTTTCTGACTGATGTCCGGCGAAAATATTTTGCGGACAGACAGACAGAGAGAGAGAAAGAGAGAGAGAGAGAGAGAGAAGTGCGCACGGGGGGTTTTATACATTAGGATTGGTATAAAAGTGCATGGTTTATAAAATAAAACTGCACATAACTCCTGGGACAAAATATTATGAAATAATGAAGAGATATGTCATATTTGACTAATATCCCAAACAAACAGTATTGATAGATACATCAGACTAACCACAGGGTGATCAGAGAGTCTAACAAACTCAGAGTCTGTCAAATGGAAATCTGTGAAATCTATGCGTATTGTTTGATCAACTGAGCCTGAGTCAATTGTCCAATGGCAGTGCTGTGTAGTGTCAGGTTGTGCTGAAGAGGATAAAGTCTGTGGCACATTGGTAGCATTATAGCCACCTCCACATACAACTGTAGAGAAAGACAGGCAAATTATATTTATAAAAAGTGTGAATAAGTTGTTGATATTCTCACCAGTTTTTACAGGAATTAATATTCTTTAGAAAAAAAATATTTTTGCCACGTTCTTAAACAATGTGTGGAATAAGATGTCGAGATTGACCCAAACATTTACTCAGCTTCATCAGTTACTGACAATTATTCAGATTATGAATGAAATACTTCTTTTCAGTCACAAATACTTATATAGAAAGTTTCAGCAAAGTTAATTATATTTTGAAGGTAAAAATAAAATGTATTATGGTAATAATAACATTATCAGGAAACAGTTTAAAGCCATATGCTGTCGTACCACACATTATTATTTAAAATATGCCTCCATCAACGGACGTACTCAAAATAGTGCTAAATATGACACTAAGATGACAACAAATACTTTAAAAAGTCTGATGACAAAATGCTATCAAAGCCAAGCCATCTCGGGTCATTAAATTGTGAGAACCTGTTTTCTTTTCACACTTTACTTTTTGACAAGATGCAACAGTAAAGCTTATTTTATAAAGTATATTAATTATTTTAGAAAGTTACCATCAATTTCTTGAAAATTTGCATTAAAACCTCTACCAGATGTTTCAGAATCTGTTTTAAAGATAACCAGAATTATGTTGAAGGAAGATCTCATAGTTTGTTGAATTTGCTGACCGCAATAAGAACCAAGTATTCCATGATCAGCTGTGAGTCCATCGTATACCTATAATAAAATATTACATATAAATGTATATATATATATATATATATATATATATATATATATATATATATATATATATATATATATATATATATATATATTCCTGAATATATTCAGCCAAAGTAATCATCTACATTAATATAATAATAATAATATTATTATTTTTGACTTCCTGAGATTCTATGCATATAATAAGGTATTGTTAAAATTATTTATAGCATTTATAGAAAAGCCATTAAATTTTAACCATGCAATTGATATTAATTGCCTCTATAATCTTTAAAAGTATAATTATCAAAAATAAAATGATAAAACAAAGCACTTCAACAAAACCTGAAATAATTTCCCATTTTATTTTTGTCTAATGACTTTTGAGGAAAAGGGGTGGTGATAAATATGTTAACCCTCTGTGCTGTGTTCATTCAACCTGAGAATCGGTCATCGCTAACACTGTGTGCAAAATAGATTACACAAATAAAGAATCCAGAGACATATTTTAGTTGCTGAAACTTTGAAAAATCCCCATCTAAATAATCTCCATCCGATATATAGACTCGATTTTCACTTTCTGACAAGGAAGTTATGGGAGGGAATTGAATCCTTCTCCAGATTGACCTATACACATAAGATAACAAATTGTATTGTGTAGTTTTATTTCTATGCATGTGGATTTTACATATTGTTGTTTCTGTGTATTGTTTTTGAGCCAAATAATGCAGATTATTGAACAAGTTGCAAGCTCTTGATTAGAAAGTAATGTCGAAATACTCACAGTAAGACTGTCTTTATCACAACTGGTGTGACTTTCTATATCTATATCATTAATAGTAAAATTAATTGCTTTGTTTTCACCTGTGGAAAAAAAAATACACACACATAAGTAAAAAATGCTGAGCTTATCTGAGTCAACCCAGTTCTTTTTTGTGTATTTAGAGGTCTACTTGGAGAGAGTTAAAAGTTAATGCAGCTCAAATATATGCTGATCACACAATTATTTAAAATGCTGAAAAAGATGACCCATTATAACAATCCTTACGGTGAGAGAGAGAGCACAAAACTTAAAACTAAAAACTAATAGTGCTCAACCTACACCAATTATGAATGTCAAAAAAAAAATGCTAGCATGTACTCCACTTACCGACAAATATAAGCCAACTGCATTCCATATCAGGCTCATACTGTCCATCATTGTCTATATCCAAAGATCTTATTGTTCCATTTGGTTGCCTGAATGTGCCACTACAACCCTGGGCAGGCCCTGGAAATTTATTTCATGATAGTGTTGGAAAAAAAAAGTTATACTCCAAAAGTTGATAACTAAAATCTGGTTACCATTCAAAAGTTTAGCAATTTGTTTTGTTTAACAACTAAACTGCATATTTCTAGTGTAATATAGTAAAAAAAAAAAAAACACTATAATATCAAGCATTTAGATGGGTCTAGTACAAGAGGCGGCAACCTGTGGCTCATGAACAGCATGCAACTCTTTCGATTTCAAGATGCGGCTCTCCAACTCCATGTGCAAATATTAATTAATTAATATTAATTACACGGCAAAAAAATTAAATGTCGGACGGCAAGTATATTACAACACGAACGATACAATCTATCTATCTATCTATATATATAAAAAGCAATGTATGTGTGTTTGTCCTTTATGCATTACTACACCTCTCATCACATCGCCGTGAAACTTTGGGAAGTTGTTGAGAATAGTCCTGGGGAGGTTTCTGCGAAAAAAAAAATTTCAAATTCGCAGGGGTGGCACCCCGGCAGGGCGCGATTTGTTTTTCTCTATATACCGTATATAAAAATAAAAGTCGATTTTGGTTTGGCATCGTTCATCTGATAGCCATGAGACTTTGGGGAGTTTATTATACCACTCTAGGGAAGGGTTCTGTAAAAAAATAATTTTTAATTTCGCAAGGGCGGCGCCACGGGAGGGTCCGATTTTTCTCTATATACGGTATATAAAAATAATAAAAGTGAGTTGCAGTGACACCGTTCATCCAATAGGCATGATTCTTTGGGGAGTTCATTATAAAACTCTAGGGAAGGGTTCTGTAAAAAATCATTTATAATTTCACAAGGGCGGCGCCACGGGAGGGTGCGATTTTTCTCTATATACGGTATATACAAATAAAAGTCGATTTTGGTGTGACACCGTTATCCGATAGCCATGAGACTTTGGGGGAGTTGATTAGAACAATTCAGGGAAAGGGTTCTGTAAAAAAAAAATCCTTTTTTAATTTCGCAAGGGCGGCGCCACGGGAGGCTGCGATTTTTCTCTTTATACGGTTTATAAAAATAAAAGTCTATTTCGGTTTCACACCGTTCACCCGTGTACCATGAAACTTTGGGGAGATGATTATATCACTCAATGGTAGGGTTCTGAAAAAAAAATATTGTTTAATATTGCTAGGGCGGCGCCCCCCGGGGGGGGGGGGGGAGCGATTTTTTTTCTCTATACACGGTATATAAAAAATAAAACTCGGATGCGGTTCATCCGAGTGCCATGAAACTTTAGGGAGTAGATGAGAATACTCCCGAGAATATTTCTGCAAAAAAGAAAACTAAAGTTTCTTATGGGCAGCGCCATATAGGGTACAACTTTCGTCAATACACGGTTTGGCGCCCAGAGTTTTAGAGCGACGATGTTGGCGCTTGGCATCCGTTAATCGAGCGTCCTGCATAGCGAGTAAGGGGCACTACTATATTCAGCGGTAAAACTACAACAGGCTTATAAAAATAACTTTGTAACGCGTGGAAGTCCTTCTGTACAGTTTCGTCACCTTGCCAAAGATGAAAAAATAACTTTTTGAATATGAGGAGCCTACTGTAGAGTTTCGTCACTTTGCGAATGATGCAATAAGCATCCATTATTAGACAATCCAGTCGTCAAATATTTTTTTACGTGTTAAAGAAAAAAATCCTGTTCATTTGTGTCACCTTAGCGAATGACGAAATCAGCATCATTATTAACAGGATGCTATTTGGCACGATGGCGCCTGTTAGTTTTAAGGAGCCAGGGGTCGTACGCCGCGCCTTTGCGGTAGTGTAATCGGGGGGTGGGGGCCCTGAGAGCGCCCCTCTACGTCTCTGACACGTGGGCGGTCACCGAAGTGTGTTCTACCATATTATTTCGGTGAGTGATTAATGTACATTCAATGTTTTCATGCGGTAGTGTAGGTAAACCTGTGTCCCGATATTTATGATCCAAGCGCAGGCATTGTTTACATTTAAATAACTCACTTTTAGAAACGACGGTCACGCGTCTAAGAACATATGATTGGTAACGCGTTGGTGAAATCTTTCTAATACATTTGGTCAAACTTACTTCTATCCCCGCGGCAACGCGCGGGGGACGGGTACGCTAGTATATATATAAAGCAATGTATGTTTGTGTGTGTCTGTCTTTTATGCATTACTACACCTCTCGTCACATCGCCGTGAAACTTTGGGAAGTTGTTGTGAATATTCCTGGGGAGGTTTCTGGGGATAAAAAATTCAAATTCGCAGGGATGGCGCCCGGCAGGGCGCGATTTGTTTTTTCTCAATATACGGTATATGAAAATAAAAGTCGATTTTGGTTTGACAGCGCTCACCCTATAGCCATGAGACTTTGGGGGAGTTGATTAGAACAATCTCTCTCGGGAAGGGTTCTGTAAAAAATCATTTTTAATTTCGCAAGGGCGGCGCCACGGAAAGGTGCGATTTTTTTCTATATACGGTAATAAAATACTTAAAAAAAAACTTTTTAAAAAACCACGTTTTTCTTGTGGACTAAAAAGTAGAAAATAACTATTTACATACATTTGATGACAAAAAACGTGGGTACGTTCACCATCAAATTTCCCGACCCATCTGCCCGACCCACGTTTTTTGTCATCAAATGTATGTAAATAGTTATTTTCTACTTTTTAGTCCACAAGAAAAACGTGGTTTTTTAAAAAGTTTTTTTTTAAGTATTTTATTTTCTCCTTTTTAGTCCGTTGCTACACATGAAAAACGTGGTTTTTAAAAAAGTGTTTATAAATACACGGACTAAAAAAATCTTGAGCGACCAGGATTCGAACCTGGGTTGTCGCGGCCACAACGCGAAGTACTAACCACTATACGATCACGGCCAGCGCGCTCACATCGATTGGGGCCGAAGTAACTGTGTCTATAGGCCTCCAGTCTTGTCGGTATCTTTAGAAATCATGTCCTCAATTTTATGGTCCTTGGGGCGTAATTAAATTAAGCTAATTACGGTCTCTAATTGCTAGTTTTTATGATTGCATCTGAAATTGTTAGGCGAAAGTAACCTGCATGCCAAATTTCAGAACTATAGAACAATCAGAAGTGGGCTAATTTTCGATGTCAATTTTAACAACAAACACATCCACGCGAAGCTGAGTTAATAAAAACGTGTTAAAAATAATAAAAGTCGATTTTGGTTTGACAGCGTGTTCACCCGATAGCCATGAGACTTTCGGGGAGTTGATTAGGACACTGTGGGAAAGGGTTCTGTAAAAATCATCTTTAATTTCGCAAGGGCGGCTGCACGGAATGGTGGGATTTTTATCTATATACCGTATATAAAAATAATAAAAGTGAATTGCGGTGACACCGTTCACACGATCGCCATGAAACTTTGGGAAGATGTTGAGAATATTCCTGGGGAGGTTTCTGCGCTAAAAACATGTTCAAATTCGCATGGGTGGCGCCCCGACAGGGCGCGATTTGTTTTCTCTCTATATATCTATATATAAAAAAGCTCTCACAACGTTCATCCAATAGCCATCAAATTTCAGGGACATGATTAGAACACCCCAGGGAAGGGTTCTGTAAAAAAAATCATTTTTATTTTCGCGAGGGCGACGCCACAGGAGGGTGCGATTTTCTCTATATACGGTATATAAAAAGAAACGTCGATTGCAGTTTCACGGCGTTATTCCGATCGCCATCAAATTTTGTGGAGTTGATTAGAACACTCCAGGGAAGGTTTCTGTAAATAAATTTTTTTTTTTTAAATTTCACAATGGCGGCATTTGTGGCCCCCCGACAGGATGCGATTCGGCGCCCTGGTCTTTCTCGTGAGCGCTATGTCGACTAAGTTCGGTCTAAACAGTGTGATAGACAGTGGATAGGATAGAGCGTTACAAACGCTCACTAAATTGAATCAGGCGTGTCCTCCGGCGCCCTGGTAGGGTGCGATTTTGCAGCAAATAAAAAAATTTTCTGCCCCCAAAGGCTCGGCACCCCGTCAAAAGAGCGCACGACAAAAGAGCGCACGACAAAAGAGCGCCGACAAAAGAGCGCAGACAAAAGAGCACCGACATAAGAGCGCCAACAAAAGAGCGCAGTCAATTATAAAAACACATGTTGTAAGCTTAACAAATATGGCATTAAACAACCGGCGGTACGATAAAACGACATGTGTTTATTTATACATTGTGGTTGATATGGTATAAATGTAGTTTGAAAATATTTCTAGCCCAAGTAACATGGAGAAGATCGAATCACAGAAAGGTAAGGTTATTATATCCCTATATTGCACGCTTTTTTATTTGAACATGCAAAAATTTTTCTATGCTGTGTTTGTGTTATGGGTAGATCATAGATTACTTCTATATGGATAATGTGTAAAAAAAAATTATGGGATATTGCTTTTGTAGGTACGTTGCCATGCGGCAACATGGTGTGTATAAGGATTAAAAACTCAGTAGTTGCCAAATGGCAACAAACTAACACATTTCAGTATAAACAAAGACAAACAAGCTCTAAGGCAGTACAAACTAAAGATTTATTAAACATATCAATGATATATGCATTTCAACACATATTGGTAATTTTTACATACTACTAAAACACATAAAAATGTATTTATTTATATATGAAACTCATAAGAAAGAGATAAACTTCCAAAACTTGTGCTGGATGCGTGGTATTGAAATCAATGATCACATTATTTAATTGCATTATAATCCTAACCCTTATTTTGGACCTAACACAATAAGTACCATTATTAACTGTTTAGGTAAATTTGGAAATTATTATGAGTAACTTAGTATAACATATCTTTATTTTTTATCACATGAGAATATTGTAGAGAAAATAAGTTGCTATAGAGTTTTCCTAATGGGATTGACACAAGTGTGTATTTCTTGAACTTGCTTGTTGTAATAAGTTTCTGGTAGCTAAAAGATTTATAAAAAAAAAACAACTTATAGGCTATGATTATATTATAAATTTTATTAGCCGATAGTCAAATATATTGTAAAGTTTATAAAAGTAATACTACTACTATTCTAAATTAGTAATGTTCTTGACTAAATAATATATTGCATTTGCCAATAACAGTTTATATATATTTTCATAGTGATATATGTGCTAAAATAGTTAGATCTATTTAGTAGTCATACTAATAATACTAGTAAATAGTAAATAGGCCTATTATTAGTAGGCGGATAAATTTAGTAAATAAATTTTCTTTCTGTGACATGCTCTCAACAAAATAACTTATGAAGTAATTGGTAATAGGGGCATTATTATCTTCTTTGAATATAACTAAATACATTGAAAATTTTTTGAAAAACAAAAAATAGATTTATTGTTGCCATTGGGCTACAGAGCCTGATTCAGTGACTTCTGTTGCAATATGATGCCATATGGCAACAAACCATTTTCGATCTAAATAAGTATGTAAATCATATTACATAATACATATGATAGAATATACACAATTTAGAATAGTTTTGAAATATCATTATAATTTTTTATAGTGAAGTAAGAAGTACTTTATGAAAAAAAAATTATTAAAAAATACCAACCTTCATATATCATGGTGATCAGCTGGTCGTTATTCTCACAAAAATGAAATCGGAAATGGAACAAAAATTTCTTCAACTAAAAAAAGAACGCATTTATTTTGAACGAGAGATTATAATAAAGGGATGAAACACTATAGTTAATGTGTATCTGTAAAATTAAAGATTTGTGTGTGTTCAAAATGGTACGTTGCCATATGGCTACAGTATGCAATATAGAATATTGGTCAAAGGCTACAGATATCAAAAGGACAGAGCAAATGCTGATGGAAATACGACATGGAGATGCTGCATAAAAGATGGCTGCCGAGGACGGATAAAAAATGCTGAACAATGTTATTCTGTCATCATCGGAACACAATTACGCTCCTGATCCGGCTAAAAACAAAGCAGCGAAAGTCGTTTCGGCTATACGAAAACAGGCAGTGGAAGGGGTGATAAAAACAAGGCAGATTTTACAACAAGCCAGAGAAGGAATTTCGATGGAAGTAGCACCAGTGTTTTTTCCAGACTTTTTTCTCCGGTATGGGGGGGGGGGGGGGACTTGAAATTTTCGGGGGGGGGGGGGGCGGTAGACTTTTTTCGGGGGGGCGGACACTGTTAAAAGTATATATTTTCTATATAAATTTCATTTCGTTCGGGGGGGGGGGGGGCGGTAGACTTTCTTCGGGGGTGGGGGGGGGGGGGCAAAGCCCCCCCCCCCCCCCCCCCCCCCGAAGAGATGCCTGGAAGAAACTCTGAGTAGCACCTCATTTGCTGGTATAGGTCGCTTCACAACGTGCAATAGAAAGACAGAGAAAACGCAAGCAGCTGCCATACCAAAATCCGCAGAACGTTGCAGAAATAACAATTCCTAAACCTCTTCAAACGACAACAAGAAGCAAAATTTCGTCTGTGGGATTCCGGACTGACTGACGTTTACAGAATGATGATGTTCAGAACAATCATATCAATCGTCTACATCAAAATGAACATTGGTTTGTGGATGGAACTTTCAAAGTTGCACCAGTAATCTTCTATCAGGTATTAACAATGCATGCTTTAATAGATAACAAGGCAGCTTGTCAATGTGTTCACAACATTGTATTTAGTCATTTTTTTTTAAATTTTTGTTGGGTTTAATTTTCTTGCTTGATTGGGTTGTGGTTACTTCATAGAATCTCTTCGTGGAGGATAAGAATGAGAGATCCCAACAAATTAAATTACAGACAGAGCAATTGGCCCAGCACTTTGAAGATATTCTAAACCAACCTCTCTCATCAACCATTCCCGATATACCACCTACAAATCACCTATTAAATGTGAGTACAGCCCCCCCCCCCTTTCCAAATTTAGATATAGTAAGGGCAATGAAGATTATGGCGCTTTTTGATTCGTAGACCTAGGGGGTTACCAAAACAAATACAGACAGGCCGCAGTCATTCATAAACACACGACATCCTTACGATAAGATGGTCAGAGAAAAATATACAATAACGACATGTGGCAAACATCAATCAACACCCAATAGACAAGGATGTTAAATCCCGCAAATGGGGATGGATAGGGCATACCGTGTGAAGTGGAGAGGACAACATTGTGAGGAAAGCAATAGATCGGAATCCCCAGGGTGGGAGGAAAGAAAGCATGTAAAGGATATCCCAGAGAATGACCGTATAAGACGAGGAAAGGGCTCCCGGGCTTAGATTGGCACAAATAAAGAGAGCCGCTCAAAACCAACAGCAGTCCTTTGCTCTCCAGGGGACATAGAGAAATAAATTAAGGGAAGTGATACATAATTTTAAATATCAAATTTGATTTTAAAAGATCAGAATTCTGTATTGTCATCAAAACTGCACTTTTATAATAAATTGCTCTATTAGAAAAGAGGCAAAATTTACAGTAAGTTTCAACAAGATGTGGACAGAAACAAAAAAATATATTGTAATCTAAGAAAAAGGTTAGGCCTATACAATTGTTTTTAGCCTACCAAAAAAAAATATTATAAGCAGACTTTTTATGAAAATAAAATCTATTTTTGCATTTCACTTTAAATTATTTGTAGAAGCTAAATATTTAGACTGTGTTATCATTATGCCTAGCTTAAGTTTTTAATATAATTTAGGCCTAATAATAAAATCCTATGTTGTATTCTCAAAGTGATGACGAATTGTTTTTCCTTGTTTAAAACCTACCTCATAATGCGACAAAGAATGCAAAAATCTACAAAATGTTCTAATTTTGTTCTAAGTTTTAAAAACTTTATTGGGTAGTTACCATATGTAGTAAGATATGTTCCTGAAAAAGTCGTGTCACTCCAATCTTGTTTATAAAAATGAATATACATTGAATTTCCAGAGCTTGCATAGGCAGCCATCTGTGTAAATCGCCGACAGAGATATAAAAGTTGATTAGCAGTCTCATTCTGTCCATCATAGATTTTTAAAAAACTATAATGACAGCCATGCCAATTAACCCAGCCGCTTCCGCTCTCAAGTCTGAAAAAAAGAAAACAAAAAAAAAACCACACCTATAATAGCCAGAAGAAAAGCACAAAAACGTAAAGAAAAAGCAAAAAGTACAGTGCTAGAACCTGCTAAACGGGATATGCACAGCAAACAATCACCTGTCTTGATTTTACGACTTAATGGTTTCCTTGCACTTTTGGATACTTTGTCTATTTATGTATTCAGATAACAATAACTTTAATGAGAATTTTAAAAATGTGTTTAAATTATAATGACCCAATTAACAAAACAAAAATAATCACCCCTTCCCCCTCTCCAACAGAAATGTTTAATATCCGTCATCATATTTTATTTAGTTGGGTGGCGTCTAAGATTTTAAACTGTATTATTGTTCAAGATGACATAATTAAAAGCTATATTCATTTACCTTTAATTTGATACCAATTTTAATTTTTAAAATTAATCGGTAGCCTAGGAAATAGTTTGTAACAAAACGCATTTGTTTTTAAATGGCTAAGATGTTATGACTGATACGGTGAATTAGTTTTTATTAAGGTGTGTTGTTGTAACGCGGTTGACGGTTCAGCCGAAATGCGTCGACTGCTAGATTTCTTACTATTCAAATGCATAGCGGGCGAACTGAGCGCGTTTAGTTGGCTGCGTCTAGATCTAGTCATTTTTTAACACGTTTTTATTAACTCAGCTTCGCGTTTGTGGATGTGTTTGTTGTTAAAATTGACATCGAAAATAGCCCACTTCTGATTGCTCTATAGATCTGAAATTTGGCATGCAGGTTACTTTCGCCTAACAATTTCAAATGCAATCATAAAAACTAGCAATTAGAGACCGTAATTAGCTTAATTTAATTACGCCCTAAGGACCATAAAATTGAGGACATGATTTCTAAAGATACCGACAAGACTGAAGACCTATTGACACAGTTACTTCGGCCCCAATCGATGTGAGCGCGCTGGCCGTGATCGTATAGTGGTTAGTACTTCGCGTTGTGGCCGCGACAACCCAGGTTCGAATCCTGGTCGCTCAAGATTTTTAGTCCGTGTATTTATAAACACTTTGTCAAGTCATACTTAATCAAGTCATTGGATAAAGTAGAAAATAAACTATATAAAAAACTTTTTTTAAAAACCACGTTTTTCATGTGTAGCAACGGACTAAAAAGGAGAAAATAAAATACTTAAAAAAAAACTTTTTAAAAAACCACGTTTTTCTTGTGGAATAAAAAGTAGAAAATAACTATTTACATACATTTGATGACAAAAAACGTGGGTCGGGCAGATGGGTCGGGAAATTTGATGGTGAACGTACCCACGTTTTTTGTCATCAAATGTATGTAAATAGTTATTTTCTACTTTTTATTCCACAAGAAAAACGTGGTTTTTTAAAAAGTTTTTTTTTAAGTATTTTTTTTAAGATTTTTTTTTTCCTGCATACTTTTTTTTACTTTCTCGTATATACGAAGTATAGAGAAAGTATTGTAATCGTGCAAAAAACAAGACGTTTTACATCTCACTGATACGGAAAAACATAATTTTGCAATCTTGTCCGTATGTCTGTGTGTCTGTGTGTCTGTCTGTGTGTCTGTCTGTCTGTGTGTGTGTAAACACGATAACTTGAGTACCGTTACAGCTAGGTTGATGAAATTTCATATATAAGTATTTTATCAAAATCGTAGATCCGTATCAATTTTTGAGCGATTTCCGATAAACGGAAGTGGTACTTTTCCTACTTTGAAATTTTCAAAAACCTATAACTTGAGTACTATTTCAGATAGATAAACGAAATTTCACATGTAAGTAAAAGATCTAATTCTCTACCTTCTGTTAAATTTTGAGTCATTTTACGTTGAACGGAAGTAGTAATTTACGCAGTATCGTTGAATAATAAGCAGAAATAATGATTGTATGTATATCTTTCTGAAATAACCATGAAACATAGTTAAAAAACGGAATTAACGTATTGTCATTTTCGGCGGCCATCATCACTATGTAGACGGTAAAAAAGTATGTCAAGTGACAGGCTATATTTTAGATAATTAGAAATCTGTGATTTTCAGTCGCCTTAATAAATTACATTAAAATGGTATTTTCGTAATCTACTTTTGTTTTTTTTTCACCATATTTTTAGTATTAGTTCTTTGTATAGTAATTAAACTTTTGATACGAGGAAATTGTGATGGCTTCAGTACAAACAATAATTTATGATTAAAAGTATGCAAATTTTAAAACCGTCGCATACTAAAAAATTTAGTGCAATTTTTTTTTTATTTTCTGAACTGAACCTATATTAAAAAGTTGTCTTGACAAAAGTTTTAATACTTACTGAAACATAATATACAGTATAAATTTGATTCCTATAAATGCAAAAATAAAAAAAAGCCTTAGTGTTTTTTTTTAAAGTACCGAATTTCTTTTAAAGGCGGGCTTTTTTTGTTTCCATGACAACCGAAATGTTTTCAAACCCCTTTTCGCTGTTTAATACTTACTTTTAAACTTAGTAAAAGTAGTCAAAAAGCTAAAAATCTTTAATTAAAAAAAACGAAAATAAACCCACGCATATCCCCTTAAATATGCAGGTATCTCAAAAATAATTAGACAAAGCTTTTATAAGTTAAAATACTTTACACTAACTTACACTGCAGTCTTAAATATTAAAACAATAAATATTTAGTAAAAAATAATATAGGCCTACTTTTTATAGGTAAACTAGCGTACCCGTCCCCCGCGCGTTGCCGCGGGGATAGAAGAAAGTCTGACGAAATATATTAGAAGGATATCACCAATGCATTAACAATCATATGTTCTTAGACGCGTGACCTTGTTTTCTAAAACTGTGTTATTTAAACGTAAACAATGCCTGCGCTTGGATTATAATTATCGGGATACGAGTTTTCCTACACTACCGCATGAAAACCTTGAGTGTACATTAATCACTCACCGAAATAATGAGGTAGAACACACTTCGGTGACCCCCCATGTGTCAGGGGCGTAGATGGGCGCTCTCAGGAGCCCCCCCCCCCCCCCACCCCCCAATTACACTACCGCATAGGCGAAGCGTACGGCCCCTGGCTCCTTAAAACTAACAGGCGCCATCGTGCTCATAGGATAACCCAGCGTGCCAAATAGCATCCTGTTAACAATGATGCAGATTTCGTCATTCGCTAAAGTGACACAAATGAACAGGATTTTTTTCTTTAACACGTAAAAAAATTATTTGACGTGTTTTAAACATCAGTGTGACTGATGCAATATGCTAGCGTTACTAATGGTCTATTATTAGATGCCCGATCTCAATTTCTGACTGGATCGTCTAAAATAGATGCTAATTGCATCATTCGCAAAGTGACGAAACTCTACAGTAGGCTCCTCAAATTCAAAAAGTTATTTTTTTATCTTTCGCAAGGTGACGAAACTGTACAGGATTTCCTCGCGTTACAAAGTTATTTATAGAAGCCTGTTGTAGTTTTACTGCTGAATATAGTAGTACCCCTTACTCTCTATGCAGGACGCTCGATTAACGGATGCCAAGTGCCAACATAGTCGCTCTAAAACTTTGGGCGCCAAACCGTGTATTGACGAAAATTGTACTACATGGCGCCGCCCATAAGAAACTTTAGTTTTCTTTTTCGCAGAAATATTCTCGGGAGTATTTTCATTTACTGCCTAAAATTTCATGGCACTCGGATGAACCGCATCCGTGTTTTATTTTTTATATACCGTGTATAGAGAAAAAAATCGCTCCCCCCGGGGTCACCGCCCTTGCAATATTAAAAAAATATTTTTTTCCAAAACCCTACCATTGAGTGATATAATCATCTCCCCAAAGCTTCATGGTACGCGGATGAACGGTGTGAAACCGAAATAGACTTTATTTTTATAAACCGTATATAGAGAAAAAAAACAAATCGCGCCCTGCCTGGGCGTCACCCCTGTGAATTTGAAAATGTTTTTAGCGCAAAAACCTTCCCAGGAATATTCTCAACATCTTCCCAAAGTTTCATGGCGATCTGTGAACGGTGTCACGGCAATTCACTTTTATTATTTTTTTATACGGTATAGAGAGAAAAATCGCACCCTCCCGTGGCGCCGCCCTTGTGAAATTAAAAATAATTTTGGGCCCAGGCATGCTATGGCATTACTGTCAAAAGAAGGAAACCATAGTCGAAGACTCAGTGAAGGACGCCAAAAAAAAAGACGCCTTGACAACAGCTTTACTACAGCTCTAGGTAAAACAAAGAGCGCGAGAAAAAAAGAAAACTAACAGCTGAACAATCTCAGAAGGAATATATTCAGCAGCACCATACTTCAGGCTATAAATGTGGTCGATTTTAGTGACATACAGCGGAAAGATTTCATTTTTTGCAACGTTTTGTTGGTTTTTTGCGTTTTTCTCAGTTTGATGTTTTTTGTACAATTGTTGAAAAATTTTATTGTTGAAATAGTGAAAAAATTGGACGAAATAATGAAATTTTTGCAGTGATGTTTAGAAAAAAAAAAGAAAATGTAATCTATCAGAAGTCTTAAACACATGTGACTACAGACTATATTAAGTTTTCATGAAACTTGTACAAACTATTTTTGAGTTATTCCCATTTAAAAATCGTCAATAAAATCCAATATGGCCGCCGTCACCATGGCGGATTTAAAAAATA